CCACGTGGAGCGTTTACAAATGGGAGAAGGGCTCAGGGGTGCAGGGATTGGTGGAGAGTAAATGGTAGGTTGCAAGGGTTAAGAGGGCTCTTGAGGTCATTTAGCCCAACCCCCCTTTTCCAGGTAGGGATTCCTATTCAAGTCTCCTTCGCAGTTGCTGGTCACTTGCTTGGACACATCGGAAGGAGTTTTTCCTCTCTCCTGCAGCTTGGGATGTTTTTTCGCCCTCATGTTGTGTTGGTGGGCAAAGCATGGGTGAAAATGGGCCTCCCCGGACTCCGGAGGCTCTGGAAGCCAGAAACGGGTCCATTTCCAGCCTTCCTGAGCTTCCCGGAGGCCCGTTTTTCACCCTCCCCGAGCCTCCATACATGCCCTGCATCCAAAACAGGCCGCGTGGGGACTCCTGGGAGGGGCGTGGCAGGGTGGGCAGGGCCAGTCAGGAGCGGGATTTGGGGTTTCTCCAAACTGCACAGAATCTTAGCTAGGGGATCTCCCGAACCCCTGCAAGCCCCCACCAGCCCAACCCTGGGGCTGACCCAAAAAACTCCTTCACCCACCTTCCATTGTCAGCTTTTCCTTCTCCTTCCATGAACAATGCCCTAACAAGCCAAAAGGTACCCTTGGTGGGGGGGAGAAGGAATTAAGGGCAATGCAATAACCCCTCGTTCTGTTTTGTTTATTATATTTTGCAGGGCGTGATTTCTTTTCAAGGGGGGATGCCTGTCAGCTTTGGAAGCCACATTGAGATCAGATGCTCTCACTCTGCCACGTTTGAGCCTGGGAAAGTGGGAAGGGAAATTTCTTGGAGTATATGTAGTTAGACATAATAAAATTATTTTTCTGGTTCAAGGTCAGGTAGTGTCGCGCAAAAGTGAGAGGAAGTCTTAACTTGGGATGGATGGTGATTGGGCCATGTGATGTGATGATGGGCGCAGGGAACGGATTTGTAGTTTTTACTTATTGTAAGGAAGCCCAAAACTTTCAAATTCGGGATTCCACAGTTGTGCCGGTTACTATCCAGATAAAAAGGCACCTTTGAGAAGATGTCTGTCTCGGAGTTACTGGACGGAATGGAAGGTTGCTGGAACACTGACATTCATACTTGTTCGAGGTGCCCCATCAAGGCACCATCCCTGAGACACACCTAGTGTGGTGACCAGCTCACGGAGGTCCCCAGGGCCACCTCCTTCCAGGCACTGCAAGGCTTCGAGGACTTCCAAGGAATTGCCCACTCGGGCACCCACGGGCTCATCCATCCTGCTCAGAACGGCCGCCGTTTTCATCCCGAGCTGGTTTCCGACGGACACCTAGGGAAGATGGAGAGAACAGATGGGGAAGGTGAGATGTCTCCACCCTTCGTTGGTGGAGGTAGTCCCAGATCTTTAGGGAAGCTTCTGCAAGAAGGTCAACGAGCTGGACCTTTGAAGATGGCCCTCTTGCGTTGCACACCTTCTAAACTTCTTCTGATCCAAAGGTTGGACTCGACCGTTCGAGCGGCCTGAGTGAAGTGATGTCAAAAGTCATGAGGGAACTTTGGGGTTCCTTCTTCAGGCTAGAGATTCACCCTATAGCCCTTCAGACAACCTCCAGGTCTCCTGCTTCAGTATGGACTGCAGGACCTCCGGGCAGTGGTGCGATTCCACCCGTATTACAACCGGTGCGGTGAGCGTGCGCTGCGCACTCACAGCATTTAGAAAAGGACATTTTTAGCTATAATACTGACCTCCTGCTGCAGCCCCGGTGATAGAACGGCTGGTGCGCGGCAAAGCACTCTGCCACGCAAATCAGCTGGGCTCAAAAACAAGGAAATGAAGCACAGGAAAAGGGCGGGGAAGATGGGCGGGGCCAAATCATCACTGGAACTACCAGTTCGCCTAAACCGGTCCAAACCAGTAGAACCCCCACCCCCTGCCTCTATGGTCCCTTCCAATTCTGTTATTCTTTCTGTGAGCAGATGCTGTTCTGACCCAAACCTTGTTCCAAGGAAGCCAACACCAGACTTAGAGGTAACAGCACAACCTATTAATGGTTCTCTACGAATTCCATTCCTTGCTGGTTAAAAGGCTTTTTCCAACTAATTGACTCTGATAAGAATGAGCCTTGCGGTGCAAGGCTGCCAAGAACACTAGATAAAGTTACTAAGAAATATTTCAAACACAAAGAGTCTCCAAACACAAATTAAGGGAGTCCGAACGTCCACAAGGCTTGAGTGAAAAAACGTCTTTGCTTCCTGCAAAGAACTCCGGTTTCTCCGCTGGCTTTTATCCCTTAAGGGAGGGGCCATTACCTTGCAGCCTTACTCCCGAGTCGCCTGTGCTGCGGCAGCTGCTCTTTCCTTTGAGCAGCCCTGTGTGCATGTGCACAGGCTCCTCGGGGTGCTCTTCCTCACTGCTGCCAGCCTCCACAAGCTCCGCAGGCAGCACTCCACTCCCTGATGGTCCTGGCCCCATCCCTGCATCACCTGCAGGCCCCTCACCTGAGTCCTCCCTCTCCGAGACCTCAGCCGTCCCCACCTGCATCTGTGCCATGGAACCCAAAGCAAGTCCAGGATGATATAAAATCCCCTACCATGGGCAAGGGTTTCGACCACAAGACCTCCAAGGTCCCTTCCAACCTTATCATTCTATGTCCTCATGTAGATTTCCCCAGCTGCTTTGTTGGTTGAGGATTATGGGTGCTGGAATCTAGCTTATCTGGAGGGCTACAAGTTGGAGGGCAGCTAAAAATATAACGTCGGAGAAGATCCCTGTATCTGGTTTGACATCATCAGTGGCCCCCTCCATCATTTCTCAAGAGTTCCTCAACTGTTCAGGAGAACATCTAGGGAGACTTCCCCGCCCAGGTGGTCACAGAACATGGAATAACAGAATCCTCAGAGTTCTTCTAGTTTTTTTGGTCAGAAGTTGTGCTTCATCACTGGAGGCTTTTCAAAACAAAACAAAAAGCAACGGACAATCGTTTGTCTGAAATGATATCGGGTCTCCTGCTTGAAGCAGCGGGTTAGACTAGGTGACCTCTGGGGTACCTTCCAATTCTATCCTTCTTCTGGGTTCTATATGTTCTACATCCCCTGCCCGAGCAGGAGGCGCTATACTATTTCAGATAGATAGTTGTCCAGTCTGGACTTTCTGGTTTTTTTCTCTGAAGACGTTTCACTTCTCATCCAAGAAGCTTCTTCCGCTCTGACCAGGATGGACTGTCAGGTCTCTTTTTGAAAGTCTCCAGGGATGGAGCACCCACCAGAAGGTCAGAGGGGTTGATGTCCACAGCTACTTCTCCAGACTTCTTGTCCTGACCCCGCACGGCCCACCCTCTGAAGTGAACTTAAAGATTCCTTTAATTAGGAGCGCCAGTAATCTCGGCAACAACTTTCTCGCTTAGCGCAGACTAAGTTTGGCCAGAAGATGGTTAGTTGTCTGCCAGACTTATTCAACTTTTCTCTCCAGAGCTAGGGTGGGGCTTTGCTGGCAGTGGTAGCTCTTCCATCCCAAGGACCAGCCCATAGATTTCCACTGCTCTCCTCTCCTCTCTGCCTTCTGCACATCCACGCGTCAGGCACTGGAGCCAGCTGTTCCTCCTCTTCCTCATCAGCCACCTCCACACACCTGGGGGCTGTTGACTCTGCACCTGAGGGTTGACAGACAGCCCAGACTCTCCCTCCTTCTCCCCCTCTCTCTGGCAGCTCCATTCCCCCTCCGACTTTTTGGGTTGCTGGCTCTGACTCCCACGCCTCCCCCTCCTCTGAGTCGGCTGCTGGAGGGGCCAGTGACCGCCAGGCCACAACAACAACAACAACAACAAAACTCGACTACAGCTCATCAGTCAGGAACCCACATTACGTATCTGATATTAGTTGAGAAAGTCCAGAAATATTTCACAAGAAGAGTTCTCCATTCCTCTGAGACTCGTTGCAGAATACCTTATGCCACCAGACTCGAAATTCTAGACCTAGAAAATCTAGAACTACGCCGTCTTCGGTCCGATCTAAGTATGGTATATAAAATCATACATTGCAATGTCCTACCTGTCAATGAATACTTCAGCTTCAACCATAACAACACAAGAGCACACAATAGATACAAACTCAAGGTTAACCGCACCAAGCTTGATTGCAGGAAACACAACTTCAGCAACAGAGTGATCAATGTCTGGAATCCTCTACCTGACTCTGTAGTTTCTTCCCCAAACCCCAAACCCCAAAAACTTTAACCTTAGACTGTCTACTATTGACCTCACCCCTTTCCTAAGAGGCCTGTAAGGGGCGTGCATAAGCGCACCAACACGCCTACCGTCCCTGTCCTATTGTTCCTTTTATTTTTCTTATATGTATCCATGTATTCATAACGATGTATATACTTGTACCTATTATCTTGTAAGCAATTGACAAACCAAATAAAACGAACAAATAAATTCTGTCCCAAGGGTTGAGCTTCAACTTTGCAATGGTGAATCCTCAGATGGGTGAAACCGTCTTCGCCTCCAAGGACAACACTGGGGAGAAGGAACCCCATCCCTCTGTGGTGCTAACCATCACCGTCATCCGGCCCTCAACCCTCCCAAGAAGCCGGACGGGGCAGCTTCAGTCTCACCAGGTTTCGGGCAAGGTGCTCAGCGCTCTCCAGAGTATGGTACAGGGCAGCACTGCCAAATTTGACATCCAGCACCAGAGCCGAGAGCTTCTCCACCATCTTCTTACTCAGGATGGAACCTAAGAGCCGAGAAAGGAGCCCCTGAGACTATGGTGCACAGCTCTTTCCCCCCCGGAGCTCATAGATACATAGAAAGCTGGAGACAGAAAAAGACCCCGTGGCCCATCAAGTCTGCCCTTTATTTATTTATTTTTAGTTTTGTTTTTGATTTGTTTCTTATTTTTTTAATTAACTTTTTAATAGTTTTATTTTTGGCAGAGGATCGATAGGAGAGTGGCGCGGCGGCCTAGGGGTGGAGCTCTCACATCACAATCGGGAGGCTGTGAGTTCAATCCTAGATAGAGGCAGATCTTTTTCTCTCTGGGCACATTGAGAATATATCTGCTGAACAGAACTCCGTACTGGTGACAGGTAGGGCATCCGGCCAGTAAAACACTCAGCTCCATTCAGTTGCCCAGACTCCACTCCATAAGGGGTTATGGAGTCATTAAAAGATGATTTGCTAGTCACAGTCCTTGAGTGGTACAGTGGCTTAGAAGTGGAGCTCTCGCCTCACAATCGGGAGGCTGTGAGTTCGATCCTAGGTAGGGGAAGATATTTCTCTTTCCGCAGGATGAGAATTTATCTGCTGAATATAACTCCGCACTAGTGACAGGAAGGGCATCTGGCCAGTAAATACTCAGCCCCATTCAGTTGCCCAAACTCCACCCCAATGCAAGGGATTATGGAGTTGTTAAAAGAAAAAGAAGATAGACATCTGTTTATCCCAAGCACGCTTAAGCGCATTTCCTGGTGACTGACCCAAAATCGCCACTGGAAGTTGGTTCCAGGCTCCCATTGTTCTTTCTGTGAAATACAGGCAGTCCTCGACTTACGACCACAATTGAGCCCAAAATTTATGTTGCTAAGTGAGACAAGCGAGTTTTGCTCCGTTTTGAGACTTTTCTTGCCATGTTTGTTAAGAGAATCGCTGCCGTTGTTCAATTAGTAACCCGGTTGTTAAGTGAATCCGGCTTCCCCCGTGGACTCAGCTTCTTGGAAGGTCGCATAAGGATGACACCGCCCCCCCCACAGGACACTGCAACTGTCATAAATGTGAGTCAGTTGTCAAGTGTCTGAATGTAAACCACGTGACCTCGGGGGGTGCTGCTACAGTCGTTAAGTGTGAAAAGGGGTCCTAAGTCACTTTTCCCAGGGCCATTGTAACTTTGAACGGCCACTAAGCAAACTGTGGTAGGTTGAGGACTATCTGTACAGGCCGTCCTCAACTTATGACCACAACTGGGCCCAAACTGGCTCCTATTTATGACGGTTGCAGTGTCCCTGGGGTCACTTCTCCCCCAAGTCAATGGAGAGAAACCAGATTCACTTAACAAACCTGTTCCCAGCTGAACAACGGCTCTGATTCACTTAACGAGGGCAGCAAGGCAGGTCGCAAGATGGGGCAAAGCTCACTTAAGAAACGCCTGTCCGAGTATTCATTGAGTGGCAGAGACATAGTTAAGAGCGTCAGTGAGTAGGCATGGCAACAGACCAGCCAATGGGAGCTGACCTGGAAAGTGAAACTAGAAGTTCTTTCTCTCTTCTGCTCTGAACCTGTAACATGTCTGCTTCTCTTTGAGTTTGCTCCACGTTGGAGAAATCTACGACTGGTACTGTAAAATTTACTTCATGTGTTTATAAAGAAGTTAAAGAAAGCCTCAGCCATCGGTGTCTACTTTTCTGGCTCTGAATTTACGCTGTGATACTCCGAACACCGCCTCACTTAGCAACGGAAGTATTGGGCTCAGATGTGGTCCTACCTGTAAAATACTCCGACCACGCAATCCCCCAGACTAGAAAGCCCCAACATTTGACAGCTGCGAAGCCCTGCAGGAATTCAAACCATCCAGCGTCGGAGGACTTACTGATGATGAGGGGCAGGCTGTCCACCGTGGCTGTGACGTCTCTCAGGGCATAGAGGACCTTGTCGGCTGGGACCAGGTGTCGGCTCTGCTCCACAATGCAGCAACCGACTCGTTCCAGGATCTCTTTCATCTGCAGGAGGACAAAGCCCATCGTTTGGGGTCAAAAGAAGCAGGATTCTGGCCTGGTTCTTCCTTCATTGCTCAGGCAAGTCTAGGGGAGAACCTCCGCCCAAGTTCTCACAACATCTTAAACCACAAACACACTGGATCTAATCGAAGGGAACCCATAGAAGAAAATATTTACAGCTCAGGGTTGAACTGTGGGCTCCTTGGCTGGGCGGTTTTCTTGCAGGTGTTTCACGACCCAGCTAGACAACTTCATCAGTGCTAGGAAAGTGGGAGCAGCAGGGTTAATGGTGCGGAGGGGGAGGAAGAGGAGGAGGAACAGGAGCTGGAGGCTGTGGGGTCCTTGGTGCTCTCTGAGCTTGGTGGTTTTCTTGCAGACGTTTCATGACCCAGCTAGGGAACATCATCAGTGCTGCA